GAAAAATCATCTAAATTAAGAATCAATGGACAATAAGCAGACATGCTAAGGAAGAAATCTCAAAACATTCACTTTGGTGGATGAACTTCATATATACCTTGGTTTTTTAAGAGTTTATTCTGGATCCTCAGGCATGTTTCCAAGAGTTGCTAGATAAATGAAGCATCACTGGTAGACATATGATCTACCCACACTCAGAAGGTACATCTCCATAGCTAGCTTATTCTTACCCTGGCCAAATAAGAACTTACTAGATGGTGACATAATTAGCAATTTATAGTGATTTGATTACAGAATGTCCCTGCTGAGTCAATGAAGGTACCCCAGGACATGGCCTCCCACAGTGTTGCAGCATGTTGCTGGACATCAGGCAAAAGGAAAATGCCCTGCCCCCCTTTCTCTCACTTCAATACACACTGTATTCTATGAAATGCTGAAATGCTGCAACCCACATTCAGTCTGTGTTTGTAATGCATCTTCTTCTGTTCCCTCACATATGGCAGTCTGAAACAATTACATAATGAGACATATTATCATGGCATAACTGTCAAAAATGATGAGACTAAGCTATGAATAAATATTACCCACTTATTAGCAGTGCTGCTCCTGTACTCTTGAATCTGTACTTTACCCCTGACTTTCAGATTTTATATTTGCACCCCCTGAGTACCTGTGCAACAAAGTAATGCAGCACTAACACCATTCAGGAAAAGATTTACAAAGTCAAAGGCAAAGTAAACTTTAAAGTACAGTTTCTTACCATTTTTGTGTTATAGTCCTTTTTCTAAGTTTGGCAAAATTTACAGGTGCTCAGAGCCATGTTTTAAAATTCATAAAAAATATATACAGGCTAACAATGGAAACCAATGATATTGAAATATTGTTAAAATTTTGATTTAATAATGTGTGCTTCTTTATTAATAAATTAACTTTAAAGATCTAACAGAGGATCAATAAGAATTAAGATTTAAAAATAATTAGTATAAATAGCATTTTTAAACATTGCAACAACTATAATGTGATAAGGAAATATCTGTGATATGTGTCAGTGGCAAAGTCAGTCCCAGGCATTTCTACTACAACTATGGTTTCTCTCCTAAATTTATATTTGAAAGAAGTGTTTAACTTCAATTACATGTTAGTGAAAATAAAGTTGTATTTTTCAGCATTCAGAGTCACTGACCCTGTGTTGAGAATTTTTCTCTAATATGACCCAATTTGGGTTATTTCATTATGTTTCTTCCTTCTGAAGCACCTCTTCTAGACTTTTAATTTTAAATATGAAAATACCAAATTTGGCAGATTCTCTTGCTTCTCTTACCCCCATGGAGCCATTTGGAAAGACAATTTAACTCTTTCAGAAATGTACTCTTTTCCCCCTAAGCAAAAGTAATGTCCTCCTTGGGATAGACAAATACTTCCAAATACCAGGATGTCAGGATTTCTCAATATTTGGCAGGTGCCTCACAGGTCTAACTCTTACCTGGATCTCCAGGTCTGGATGCAACTTCTGTCATCCTATCTATGACGTTACTTTTCCTCACACTCAAGAAAGGCAACCAGGATGTAATGACTCAGCACGATGTTGAATGATAAGCTGCTATAGTTTCCTTTGTTAATAAAGCTATTTTGAAACATGAGTATTTTATAATTAATAACAAATTGATTCTGAGAAACCTCAGAGTGCAGGATAGTGATGAGACTACCTTTTTGAGAACAACTGTTCTACACAGAAGGACACAGACTGACGAATGAGTGCAGGGACATTGTATCTTTTAGGCCACTGTGATGCTATTTAACAGTTATTGTGGCAGTACTAAAGTGAAAACCTCAGTGGCCTGAAAGAGTTAATGTGTTTCTTAAGCGGAGGTTGGCAGCTTTTCTCTAAAAGTCCAGATAGTTAATGTTTTAGGCCTTGTAGGGCATATGGTCTCTGTCACAACTACAATAGCAATGTGAAAAGCAGACACAGACAAAACCTAAATGAATGAGGGTGGCTATCTTCGAATAAAACCTTATTTATGAACATTGGAATTTGAATTTTATATAATCTTGAGATGTCACAATATATTATTTTTATTTTGTTTTCCACTTTGTAAACATGTGAAAAACAGTTTTAACTCACAAGCCATACTAAAGAGTGGGAAAGATTTGGTCTATAGGCGTAGTTTGCTACTCTTAATGATAATATCAATAGCCAGGTAGCAAACCGATTAAGTACATTTGTCTGATTGGTTTTGACATCCTAAGGGGGTCTGCACTTAAAATAAATTTTAGCTAGAATGTGAGGTGAGAAAGTCTTTGATATTTTTAGGTGATACCACATATAGAACCAGAGTTCAAAGTTACCTAGATAGAAACTATCTTTGTCTGAAATCAATCAGGACCTTGATCTCAAAGACAATATGCAAGAGGCATTACAAACTGTTGTGTAAAAAAAATGTGGAAGTGTTATGGAAGCAAAAAGATGCAGCCCAAATTTAGATTTTCTTTTCTTTTCTTTTTTTTTTTTTTTTTTTGAACACCTAATTAGAAGTTGGTATGGTATTTATTTAACCTTTACCAGAGTTAGTAAATATTCCACTCTTTCTATACAGTTCTTTGTGTTAGCAAGAACATAAAAATTTGAAAGCCTAGGTATTCTAAATCCATAAGAAATATCTTTATTACTGATTATTAATGGTAGAATTGAAATCCAGGGCTTTTTTTTTTCTTTTTTTCTTTTTTTGCTGGGAAAAAACAAAGACAAATGAAAAGAAAAAATATTAGGAGGGTGGTAGACAGTAGCAATATGGTATGGGTGTAGACAATCCGTGTGATTCATGGAAAAGTTAGGCCTCACAAATTAACTCTGTTGTGAGAAAGTGTTTCATATTTTTTTTTTTCTGTAGAATAGTTCCTATCAACCAGATCAGTACAGAAATTAGCATAAAATTTCATCTATTTAAGACTCAGGCAGTGCAAAATATATAATACTAAATATGAACTTCAATCTTGTTGTCATTGTTGTTGTTTTATAAATATCACTAGACACACATCTGAGGTTTTAGTGCTTACCACAGTGTAGTTTTCTGGTTGACGTATATCTAAGAAATGAGTATATTAACACCCAGGCTATAAAGCCAAGCAAATTTTAGTGCCGGCTACAGCTGAAAGAATATGTTTCCATTCCTTGTCCATCTGTTCTTGGCAACATAAATTTAAACTAGAAACACAGAATAAGTTTTATGAGAAATAAGTCTAAATAGGGTTTAGAACAGCAAGGTGAATGCTTTAAGTTATTATGACTTGTTAACATTTGATTTTGTAACTAGAAGGTTGTGCTTACTTGGAGAAATCTCATGTGACAGCTATAGCTTAAAGTTTAAAAAATAATAGTTTTTATCAGCTCACTTAAAAAATACAGTGGCTTGGTCACACTTTCTATTAAAAGACTTTCTAAGGGCTTATATTAAATTTGCCAGTTATCATGAGCCTAACAAACTGTGAGATTTCAAAGTTCTATTTGCCATACACTTGAACTACCCTGAAAATGTTGTATCTACATCTCTGAACTCCATACTAAAATGGATGTATTAGTGGTGAATGAAGATTTTCTGTACAAGATGGAGTCCATACAAAACATATTTGCTTGTTTATCTTCAAGTAGAACCTCAGCTATGACCAACTCTTACCTGATCACTGTTTAATCATTATACCTTCCCACTCTATGTCAAAACCTCCAGCTTTTTATGCTACTAAAACAATATTAAACTACTAATTTAAACTTGAAAATGAGTAAGAATATCAAAATAGAAAAGGACCATATATTTTCCCCTAGAATTTTGCCTCCAAATCAAAGATGTGGGCACTCTGAGTTTGATTAAGTAAGTGAATGTGCTTTGTGTCAGGGCTAGGCTCTATGGGATTCTACTAATGTGAGAGCAACCTTTGCTTTCTGGCTGAGTAAAAATCTTCATGTTGGAAAGGGACTTTGAAGCTCACATAGTTCATCCTCCCTCCCTATGTAAGAAATGTTTCTATAATTGTTTAAAGTTTCTCTTTTTGATATGGCTGATTTATCAAATATAGCGTAGTGGTTATGCATCAGAATGGTTTGGTTCAAATTTTGTCTCTGTTACTTCCTAGATATGTGGATATAAGTAAATTAGTTAACTTCTCTACTTTTTAGCTTCTTGACCTATTAGTAGGAATAATCATATTTGTTTTAATATGGTGTTTAGGTAGAGCAAATGAGGTGATATATAGGAAGTGATTAGTCCAGTGACAAGTACTTAGTAAACACTTAACAAGCAATGCCTATTACTGTTATCCTCATTCTATTAAAACAAACAAACAAACAAACAAACAAACAATGACTGCACGTGGTAATTATCTAGTCTACTCCAAATAGTATCTTGGTAGCATATTGCTTATCAGAGAAACATTTCAAGAAGTTAATATTGTTTCTTGAACTTCTGCACAAAGTTACTCTGGACAAGTCACTCAGTATTTTAGAGACTCAATCTTATCTTTGAAATGAGAAACTTTAATTCTATGATCTCTTAGGTCTTTTGTTCAAGTAATTTAACAAAATTATGTTTGACAGCATATCCTCATACTTTATTTATAGTGCTGAAATATCTATTTGCTGCCAAAAGTCTGATGTGGGATGTATAAATGTTCCATATATACATGTGGAATAACATTAAGTTTGTTGATGTTAAAACTACTGGTATATTTTTTGGCATTATTTGGCTCAGAATCCATTCTTCCCATTTTGTTTTAGAATAAGCTAACAGCAAATCTTTTCCCACAGCACCTCCAGGTTTAGTTAAACTGAGAGTTTCATAAGTAGGCCATCTTTTCATTACTTTCACTATCCAAGACAGAGAAGCTTTCTTTGTGAAGGTAGCTTTCATTTTTCATCTCTATAGTATCTAATGTTATTAAATTGTACACATATGTTTTTTGTAACTTACAATGCTTCTGGTTTTTTTTGTTTTTGGTTTTATGTTCAGATCTGAGTGATCAGCTGCTGGAGGTCGTTGGCTTAGAAGGGGCCATGGAGATGGGGCAAATATACACAGGACTGAAAAGTGCTGGAAGACGGCTGGCTCAATGCTCCTCTGTAGTAGTCAGGTAATTTTTTCTCTATAATTGAGAAAGAGGGTTGACATAGCATAACCACAAACTAATTAAAAGTATGCAGGGCTCTGATAACCACATTTATTTTATTTATGCCTCAAATTATTAATGATTAATACTGATATATTTCAAAATGATGAAAATTAGCATATTTTACAAAGTTTTGGGTTAGCTATTACTTATCAGGTTTGTTGGAATTATATTATCTCTTATTGAAACCATGGATACAATTCTAACATACATATTTCATCCCCTCTAATCTGGTTCACACTCAGTTTACTGAAGCATCGAAGTATATCTACTAGATAAATTACCCAAAGAAAACACTACTGAGGCATTATTAACTTAAATTCTTTCATTGACTAAGTGCACTAGTGTTTCTGTAAAGGTAAATAAAAATTATTATAAATTAAGATTTTATATATCTATTAAATTTGAACCTTATCAGGAAACATTTTTTTACAAAATTTTATCTGTTGAAAAAGAGATGTATTTAAGTCAGCAAACATCTTTTTTTCCAGGGTTACAATGTAGGTTTGTATGAAAACAGGAGCCTCTTTTGGCTGGAAGAATTCTGATTTTGTCATTAAACATAAACCCTACATTTTTTTTAGCATCAGAATTTTTGTTTATATCACCACATTTATCAGGAAGCTCTTAACATTCTGTGACCAAGGAAACTTTCGGAGTATTCATTAATAATCAAGAGTTGAAGTCCCCTTCAGAAGAGATAACTTTAGAGTCCAGCTATTACCATATTTGCATTCCTTGGTCTCATCATCCGATAGCTTACGTAGAGTCTGTTATGTAAAATATTTCAGTGCTACACTTAAAGTGAAATATTTACTTCCAGGACTAGCAAGTCTCTGCCAATGCAGATTGATGGTGAACCATGGATGCAGACCCCATGCACAGTGAGTATAGAATAGTTGAAATGCTATGTCACTTTTATTTTTGCTTTCCAGATGCCATATACTCATAACTAACTGATCACATACTCCTATCACTAAATAATCATAATATCTAAGCTTTGGCCTATCACTATGTACCTTTTTTTTTTTTTCCTTATTTATGTGGCAGAATAATTGCATTCAGAATTTGGGCATTACATGCCCTTGACAATGATTTAGCTTTGGAATCTTTGTGTGTAACTTTTAAATAAAATAGATCAGTTATAAACTCTGGAACTAAAAAAAATTGGTAAAGTTCCTCTTAACCTTTCTTATACTTTTTCAGAATACCTTGTGAGAAAATTGTTCATGGAACCTTCAGACCTATGTCTCCCTGAATTTATTACCCATCTGTTTTTTTTTCATTTGGGGATATGAGGGCTTTCTTCTCTATAGAAATCTTTTTCCCACATAGTTGTTTTCTCTATAATGAAATGTTATTTAAGTCAGATGTTTATACCTCCAAAATTTCTACATTGCTCTTGGCACCAAGAATAGAAACATAATCCATAATATAGCTCATGATCAATAATAGAACAGGGAATAAATAGTCCATGATCAATAATTTAACTGTTTTACATTCTGTTAAGAGATCAAATAAATAAATAGATAAATAAATAAATCATATAAGAAATATGACTTTGTATTATAAGAGTCATGAAAAAATAAGGCAAAACAAAAGGAATTGGGTGGAGTATGGAGGATACTACTTAGATAAGTGAATCTAGGAGACCTCTTTGAAAAAAGTCAGAGACTCAGTGTGTTAATGAAACAGTAAGGAGGATGGTGTAACTGAAGTTTCTAGTGTGAGGGGAAAGTGGTAAGAGGTAAAGTAGAAAAGATGGACAGGGTTCAGATCATTTATTTAAAATGATTCTAAGCATAATAGCAAGCTATTGAAGACTTTAAGTAGCATCTGATTTACATGTTTAAAGTTCACCCTGGCTAGTATGAGAGAATAGATTGCATGGACTAGCAGATGGAAGACAGGTTCTATCAGAGTAGTCTGAGTTTAGACAATGAAGGTGTCAGGGAAGTGGATGGATTTGAGCTACATTCTGGACCTGAAATAGAAGGAATTTGCTAATGAGTTTTCCTGAAGTGGGAGGTAGGAGATGATTTGTTGTTAGGTCTTACTTGTGAATAATGGTGCCATTTAGTACACAGTTAAGATTAGGCAGAAAACTTGTTAGGGAGTGACAGCAGAGGTCTTAATTTAGATTAATACAAACATTGTGCTAAGTGCAGTATTACATGTATTTTTTAAATTGAAGAATATTCGACATGCCACATATGAATATTTATTAAATATTTGCACAAACTCTAAATAATAGTTATCACCATTTTTCAAATAGAGAAAACTGAGGCTTTGGAATGTAAAATAACTTACTCAAGGTCAGATATGTAGCAGATATGGAACTCGAACCTGGAACTCTTTGGTTAAAGCCTATTCTTTTAATCACTAGTTTAAACTAGATTCCAAACATCATAGCTTAGCATATTAGAAGGAAGTTTTAATTGTACCTTTCCTGTAGTTTTACTCTGAAGCTATTGGCTCAGTCTTGTGGACAGCACATACATATGACTTTTGGTTTATACCTGGTAGATTCCTTTTAGCTACTCGACCCCCAGGTTTGTGAAATCAATTAATTCGGTAATAATAACATAAAATAAACTGGACTAAAAATTATTCTAGATTGGCTACTTCTTATGCCTTTTGCTATCACTGTATGTGCTTCCAAATATCCTTTAAAATGTTCCTGTTCCTCTTTTTGCCAGCATATATATACTTACATCTTGCCTGTTATTTTTCACTCTCCTAATAACACCTCTAAATTCACATTTATACTCATAGGAAAGTCAAATGTGCTGTTGTTGTTGCAGGTGGTGGTGGTGGTGTGCTGATGGCAATGGCTATGATGTGGTTGTGGTGATGGTTAATTTTATAGTGGTGAGGATAATAGTAGTCATGATCGTGATGGTGAAATAGTGGTTAATTTGAGGTTATGATGACGATGGTAGTTGTGATGATGGCAGTGGTGATGGCAATGATGGTGGCCATGATAAACTGGTGGAGGTGTTATCAGTGATGATAATGATGGTAGTTGCAGTGCTGGTGATGATGATGGTTGTGATAATAGTACTGGTGGTAGTAGCACTGTTCTTGTTTTTTATAAAAGGTCACTTTTGGTCAGCTTGAGTCACAAGAGAATAAATGAAAGACAGTAAAACCAAATACCTTTCGTTGGTACTCTGTAGTCTTTTGCATTCTTCTCAGAAAGAAGATGAATTTAGTTTCTGTGCCATGTTTTAAATCAAGATGGATTAATGACAATAATAATATCTAACATTTATTAAGCTTTTAGCTTGTGCCATGTACAGTTTGAGACACTTGACCTGTATTGACACATTTAATTCTCACAAAAACTCTACAATTAGCTTCATTTTATGAATAAAGTAACTGAGACAGACAAAGGTTAAATAGTTTGCCTGATTCCACACAGATAATAAGTGGTAGAGTAGAAACTGAAATGTCAGTGGCCTGGCTTCACTGTCTGCACCCTGCATGGCTACTTCCCACTGTGGATCTCATCCTATAAAGACCCCAGGCCATCCCTGTGTCACCACCAGAGTGTGACCTTCGGTAAATCGCTTAATACCTTTCTCCAGCATTTAAAATCTATGTCTATTAAAATCTAATTAGTGTTTTAGAATAATTTTAGCTCATTTCACACAAGGATTTGTAACAATACATTTGCTGTTTCCTTTCAATTAGTAATTGGACATTCATTTTACCTTTTTACCTCTTAATTATCATAATATATACAATTGTTAAATTAATAATACATTTTATGTAACATATTTCATTTTCTCTCTTTATGAATGTTCTTATTCATTTAAAACATTTATTGCTATAAATGTTTTATTGCCAAGAACTGTACTAGACTATCGCTCATTATTGTTTTTCACATTCTGGCATAACTTACTTTTCCTAGAACCACATGGAATTCTGAACTTTAAATTTCACTTCAACTGAGAGAATGTTTAGTATTCATAGCATTGGTATGGTTTAACTAAAAAGTGTTCTTTGCTTCAATCGAATAGGAAATTTGTTTTTCTTACAGAACATAAGAATTGGTAGAATGTTAAAATTCTTTGCCAAATTTAAATATCTATAAGCTGATCTTCAATTTATGCAGGAATCGCCCTAGATATAATTTTAGATCACAGCAGAAGTTCTGTTTTCCTTTAAGTGGGATATATAAAATAGAAAGACAGGTGATAAATGGGTCTTGATTCTTACAACAATTAATACTTACTTTTTTTTTAAAATCAAAGATTTGGAGATGAATGGCAGTGATGTTTTGCACAACGATGTGAATGTACTTAATGCCATTGAACTATATAATTAAAAATAAATAAAATGGTAAATTTTATTACATATGTTTTACCACAATACAAAAAAATTACAAATTTCACCCATCCTAGTTTCAAATATAAGGAAAAACAAAAACCAAAGAGCTTAAAATTTACTCTTCAAATGCATATTTTGTAATTATTTTTATGACCTTTTAATAACCTCATACTAAAGTAGTCAACAGAAATTTGTTAGGTACTCCTGTGTTTACAGTTTTGTAATAGCCACTGTGTTATCAGAGAATACTTTATTTAACTACTAGCCTTCTTAATAAACATATCAAACTAAAGAGACAATTAATTCTAGAAGACTTATATTGAAATAATTCACGAAGAGCCTTTCTTTAGGCCAGACTCCAGAGCCTATTTTTCCCTCTCTATCTACTTCCTTCCAATTCTTCTTCCTGAGCATGTCAAACATACTGACTCTGATGTGAATATGTTCCTATTATGGGGAGAAAAAAAGGAACAACTTTGAAAGGATAGGAGGGGAAACAGTAAGATATGGAAGATCATAGACTAAGTTAGATTTTATTTTGTCTCTGCATATGCAGCTCTCCCACCCCCAGTTATTATAAGCGATAGGTGCCCAGTAGAGTTGTGTCAAGTGAGGAATGACCATACTAAACTTCAAATTCAGTGTAACCAAAATGGACTCATCTTCCTCCCTCCATCTCCTCCCCACCCACCAAATACTGACCTCTTGTTACATTCCCAAACTCCTGCTCCTCCCTTTACAGTACTGAGTTAGTTACCATTACGCACCCAGTGTTTCCCAAGCTAGAAATCTGAGTCATCCTATACTTCTGCATATCCTCAAATTCAGTTACCATGCCAACCTAATGATATGACATATTTCTAAAATCTTTTCTTTTCTTTCCATTCCTACTATCACTGCCCTAGATTTGGCCATTTATTTCTCTGATTCTCAGCAATAATTACATCAATCTTTCCAACCTCCATTTTTTTTTCTATTTAAATCCATTCTTCAGTTTTCAACTACAATGATCACTATAAAATATTAATCTCACCATTACACTCTTGTACTTAAAATCATTTAATTCCTTTCTATCTGTTAAAATATGATTTGGGTCAGGTTTTCTCTTTCACCAGTATCATCTCTTCTCTTTCATCTCTTCATGCACTTCCCTCTTGCCTTTTTCTTTAGCTGAGCAACACAATTCACCTTTTCAGATTTATTTCATGATGCCTCTCCTCCATAAAGCTTTTCCTGAATGCCACCATTTCTTATACTCTTCCAGCCCATGCCTGACTTTAACTAGTCCAAAAGTTCAGCCTTGGTGCCTTATAGCTTTATCCAACTATATTACCTTGAAATTATCAGCTTATTGGGGTCCAACATGGTGATGTAGGAAGACTCTGAACTCACCTCCTTTTTAGACACACAGAATATACACCTACATATAGAGCATTTTTTCCTGAAGAACCACTGAGGGCTGATTGAACAGCTTCTGCAAAACAAGTGAGAGAGGGACCATATAGAGAAGGGTGGGAGAAATGGTAACCAAGGGAACATTACTCTGAAG